TGCGCTGCTACAAAGACTAATGGTGTAAGAATTTGTTTAATCTCAGCCATTTGATTAACAGCATAGAAAAGCTAACAATTTTGTAAAATAATTACATATAAAAGGGGATCTTTAGAGAGGATACAAGTCATTGGGCTGGGAAAGGGGGCTGCAGCCCCTTGACATTTGAATTTTTTAAAATCAACCCCAATCGGATAGTCTTCTCTCAGTCCAGCAAAAATTTTGTTGAACTATGGAACTTTTGTTGGGCAGCCCCTCTAGATTTTTTCTTCCTGTATGCTTTTGCCCTTACAGGCAAGCCTGGGTGAATTTCTGGAGGTACACCACTATGGCGATGTTTGGAAAATAAAAAGCAGTCTGAAAAACATCTCTTTTTTACAAAGGATATTGAATAATTTTCAAGTTTCTTCTCAAAGTCTTGATGTTCAATGCTTAGCAGGGCTGAAGAAGTATTGCATGTGTATTTATATCAGAAACAGAAGACAAGAAATAAAACAATATTTTATCCTGCCTGGAAAATACAGTCCTAAAATGAATGGAACTCACTTTTCAAATTCTGCAAGCAAACTTAAAAATAGTTGCAAAAATTATCGCATGTTAACCAAACAATGCTAGGCAGTAAAAAATAATGAAACAGCGTCAGCAAATTGTTTTCACGCATACTTTTTTTGGTAAACCTCAGCTTTTCCGCCTCTTCTTCAAACTTTAATATGAGAAGTTCAAAAATCAAAATTTGACTAGTGCACCAACTCATGGCATCAGAACTCTATGTCAAAATAACACAAAACAGATTTTTGATGAAATTGAAATATTGCTAGAGAAATGAGGCAAGCATTCTCATTCTCTCCTCACAAGGTTGATTTTACTGAAATTTACCAGCATATTTGGCCTTCACAAAGAACCAACCTTAACATAAATGAACATCATTGTCGCCAAAGAAAATGAAAGGTTCCCTTTGTTCTGAATAAGAACTAACTTAAGAGCTAATGGAGAATGAAGGAGAATACCAGTGAATTCAATTAATTGCACACATAAATTTTAAAAACAACTTTTGGCTACTATTGGAGCCAGAAGCCACTCCATAAAATATGAGTTTCAGATAAAATTTGTTTCAGTTATTGATTCATAATTTTAAAAAAAATTTAACGAATATACTGCTAAAATGATATTTTAATCAGAAAACAATAAAATTGTTACACAATCTGTTATTAATGGCCTATGCAGCTGTTGTATAACTTTTGTCCTGGTAGTGCACTCCTAACAGTTTGTAACCAGTTTGTTACAACCATTCTGACGAATTCATGTATGTCAGGAAAAAATTTTCTTTGTACTTTAATTTTCTTGCTTAGAAAGCATATTTTGATTTACATTGGATTGTTCTTTGTCATTTTTGCTCTTGCTTACTTTTTATTGAGAAAGGCCAATCAATAGCATGCTGAGTGTCACTTTTTCTGTCATAAAAAAATTATAAAAATTTGCAGGAAATACAGAAAGTCAGAAATTCCATCTGAAATGATAAATGAACTGGGATGGGAGTCACTTGCAGTGAGATGTGCCAAACTGGTAGCAGTAATGTTGTTTAAAATTCAGAATAACATTTTTGACATTCCTAAATGTATCTACACTGAAGTAGGAACACACAAAAGAAGAACTCAGGCAGTACCAGTCCTTGTACCAGCAGCGGAAGTTAACTTTTATAAGTACTGCTTTGTTCCAACAGTCGCAAAAAGTTGGAATGCCTTGCCCATTGGAACAAGAAACTCAAAATCATTGAATCCTTCAAGTCATCACTGAAACAAATAGGGACAAAGCCCTAGTATTGAACCAACTTTTTCATTTTCTTTTTCATATTCGTATTGTTGTTGTTATTTTTGTACTGACTAAAGGTTGGATCTAGGCTGAATAATGGGGGGGGGTGTCTTTTATTGGAATTGGTGCACCAAACTTAGACAATTAACAAAGTTTTTCATTGTATAAACGCTTACCAATCCGGCAGTGCTGACCAGTTAACTTTCTAATATTATCGCTTTTCTATTATTAAGACTAACCTACTAACCGCTAGTACGCAATACCCATTATGGAGACTGTACTATAACATTTAGATTAGATTAGATTAGATTAGGCCTATAGATATTTGGTTATTGACATCAATGACTGGCATATAAATACGTAGATATAAAGGGAAATGCCAACTTTCATCGTTTAATTAGAAAGAAAGGTTTAACAACAGAAGAAGAGCAAAATAACGTTGATGAATATTCGGTTATAGACTACCTCATTCAGATTTGATTCAGACAAACCACCTGCAAACATTGCGCAGAAATATTCACTGGCTGCAGCCAAAACAATTTTGTGTGCCATAATTCTTTCATTTCCACATACGATAGTAACGTCACATAGGCTTTTGTCAATCTTCAGCTGATTTAAGGAGGCAGCAAGTTTAAAATGAAACTGATCATCCACATAGTTTGGTCGTTTTTCTAACCTTTTATCATTTGTTGTTAGATTGACCGATTCGGCCATCTTCCCATAGTCACATCAATTCTTAATTTGTACAGCAGCAACAACATATTATTAATGACTGGGATGAGGCGGAAGATATTGAGGGTGGGCCATCTACAACAGGCTTGCCCAACGCGTGTATCTAATGTGGCCCGCGGGCCGCATTGTGTGTCTTATGTGGCCCGCGCTTGGGTCGAAGTTGATAAAGAACTGAACTGTACTTATTCAGGTTGTAAGAGAGAAATTGATTCATATTATTTACGAGATTATTATTTCATAATATTTATGCGCACGTACACTTGGCGACTTTGTGTTCAACGCAGGGAACCAAACCCTCTTTGTTGTGCTCAAACTATGAACACGCCGCTATGAACAGTTCAAGATTGGTACAAGCCATGTTTCTCAAAAGCTAGGAAAAGGGAGAGATGGTGAACTTGGTAAACGCAAATGCAAATTATCGCGGACAACCGATTTTTCCGTAGCTCAGCAAAATGACTTTGTTAGGTGTTTGATTTTGTTTGAAAAAATCGCAGTGCGGAAGGAATACGATATTGCTAGGCATAATAACTATACGTTCATAACTATATGGAAGGCCAGTTATATGTTCATAAATTGGAAGAAAATCAAATTTTTTCAGTTCGGATTGTGCCACAAAAGTCAGCATGCCGCGATTTACTTTTCTTTTTGGGAGCACATACAAATATAATTAAAAATTGCTAAAACTGATGGCAGAAGCAGATTAAGACCTGGCTCGAACAGGAATGATTGCGTACTGTTCCAATGGCGTTCAAAATGTTTCAACAAACGGGAAATGAGCCGTTCAATTGTTTCTTCTCTTCACACGGAAAGACAATTGCTCCGTTCTACTTTTTGTGCTAGAATTTCAAGAGTTAACCAGTGCGCATATCAGTATTTCCATGAAGTATGAACAATGCAAGTATTAAGCCAGATTAGTAATTTTTCTGTTTTTCGGATCATTCCACCTGTTCACACTTGAAGGTCACAACTATAAACGGTCATAGCTTTAAAATTGGAAAAAATGCTTCTAGTGAATGTTCAGAATTAAAGTTATACCAGTTGTGGTTATTCAGTTATGAATCTACGTGATTGTCAATTGATTCAGAGCTCAGATCTGACTGCTGAGCTTTCGTGCCCCAAAAGCAGCAAGGATTGCCAGCTGCTTTCGCCCCTTTCTTTTATGTAGAGCTTTCTTTTCTTACCAGTGTCGCGAACATCATCTTTCGCAATTGATCTTCTGCAAAAAGTTTTGCCTGATCAGTCAGCAACCCCTTTCCTAGCAAAAACTTGAGGTCAGCCTGTGAATTTTGCTGCTCAAAGCTTCATACTGTGGTGTTCCAGTATTGAATGAAAAATCCCCTTTCTCATTTTTCATTTTGACTTCTTCACTTTTCTCTCCTGGAAGCATAGCACCAATTAATAACAAGCAGCTTCCCAAGTCACGTTCAACTTTCCTTTTCTTGCCCTTTCATTTTCCTTTGCACGGCGTTTTACTCTGGCATTGTCAAATTTGCTGCTGAGCACACTAGCTCCAGCTTTTCTTCACCCTGGTCAAGTTGAAAAGAACACCATCCTTAACAATGAGAAACTTCCCTTGAAAAAATGCAAACATTATTATTAAATTGTTCACGCAGAGGGGTCATTTAGTACTTTTTGTTTGGGGGGGGGGTTTACTGCATATTCGCCCTCCAGAACAATTTTGCCATGGGAAAGATGCAAATGTGGAGAACTGGTCCTCAGTTCCTTTAACACTAAAATAATTCTCAAGGCAGGGCGTACCCACTTATGAGCCATGCTTACTATGTCCCCAAGCTCACTGATGACTTTGCCTAGCTTTGGGTTGCGAGCAAGAGAAAGTTTTTAGTGAGTGTGGTGACTCTCCTTCCTGAAGTCAAATAGCATGCGCTCATTTTTTACAACATATTTTCGATATGCATACTAGCAACCCTTTGACTTCGTCACACTAGATTTAAAATCACTATACACGAATATCTCTCAAGATAAGGATATCAAAGCTTCCACATCAGCACTTGTGCTGCCTATTTTAGCAACCTGCCTGCCTACTTTAGGAACAAATCGAGAAAAAATTGTTTTCACGATTTGAGTCAACGACACATTCTGCATAGATAAGTGAAAGTTATTTTGCATGTCAGTTCTACTTTAAGTTATTCATCCGAAAGAGGAATAAAGATAAAATTCACGAGCTCCCTCTTCCTCACAAAGCGAGTTAGCATTATTAGATAGGAAATTTTTCCCAACAAACTGCCGGTGAGTGTAGCCGAATGTCTTTCATTTGTTGGCACTTCCTTGGGCTAATAGATTAAAATTTTTAAGGGTGTTCAAAACAATTTTTCCCAGATGTCACGTGATCGATGACGAACATAGTAATGGCCAGAAAAAAATTAAAATCGTGAAATTTGACAACAAGTAACATCAATCGAAAGAGTATGAGAAACTGAGCAAAAAATGCTTAGAAACTGATATTATGACATCAACGAGTTAATGCATAAGCCCATTTTGCATTTATGCTGAGCTTTTGGGTTTAGTGTAAGCAGGTAGAAACGCAAGGTATGCTGTCCCCCGGATCCTGTAAACCTTACAGTGAATAATAATACGAAAAATAGTGAGGAACAAGGCATCACGACAACGCAAATCTAATGTAATAAAATAGAAGTTTAAAATAAGTTAAATTTAATAAATACTAACATTTCGCCCCAGCACACAGGGCTTCCTTTTGGTCTCGATGCTTTGTCTTGACGTAGACTAGCTAGTCTGTTACACTGTACAGTATTCAATCATTCGATCTTTTTCTCTAAAAAATAAAAGCCGTCTTTGAACCTCAACCTCCCTCAAACGATCTTGCCACATAGCCTCCTTATTGCCATTATTTAAAAACTGTTTTAACATAATCATATCTCTTGAATTAAAATTCATTTATAAAACAAGCGAATCCAGAGCATATGCATGTGTGCTTGATAATTGCTGAGCCTTAATATTCTTAAATGTCATACTTTTGAACCTTACTGTCACCAAACTCTCAATGAACCTTATACCTGGCTATTAATTTTTATCAATTTAATTTTCATGCACTTCACCAATTTTGAGCCACAATATTCTCATAAAATTAATTCGTAAAAAAAGGGTGTATATAGCCGCATGCATCTCACAATGTGGCGATAAAGGATTGGTTTTGCTTGATATTTTAGAAAAAGTTTGATGTCCTTGTTTCAGGTTCATAGATGAAATATTGAGAGTAAATATTGTGAGAATAAAGATTTGAATTTATTTGATAGATTGAAAACAATTTTGCTGCACCTTGTACTTTCCAAAAAAGTTGCCTCGCTTCATTGTCGTCAATGAAATATATAAAACACAACTTGCCGTTGCAAATTAAGCTTTTTGTACTGACTTCTAGCAAATGCTTAGGCTTGAAAAAAGACCCTGAAAAAACCCTCCACGTCGCTAGCATGCTTCTTTTGGAACGAAAGAGAAAGCACGTGCCACCGGCCGTGTTCTAGCGAAAACCAATCAGATCTCATGATTAGTCAACTCTTTCGAAACTAGGAATATTGTTGTTAGTCACATTTGCAGTAGAAGAGCCAGTTGTGGAAGTTTTGACAACACTAACTTACGAGCTATATTACACGAGTTCACGAAATCATGCAGGAACAATTGTCAGATCAATTAATTTCTAACCTATTACCTAGAACACCACTGCACAATGGTCTTGATGCACGAATTACCTGGGCACCGAGGAAGAACAAATCTGGATTGAAAGATGAAGCTACATTTTGCCGCCGATGCACTGTAAACGAAAGGTCGTGCGAGTGTTCGGAACGCCTTCAAAGAAATCCACAGAGGCGTCTTCATTTTCTGGAGGAAGGAGATCAGGAAGAAAATTGCAAAAACGACGAAAGTACTCCGTTTTCATGTCGAGAATCTCTTGACGCCTTGGCCAACTGTAGCGATGGAAAAACGAAATTAAAAGAAAGATCCAAAAACCTTGGAGAATTTTGCTACTTTATGCCTCACATGAACAGCAAGCGAAGACTCATCTACACGGAAGTAACAAAGAATTGAGCTGTGCTGATCAGACAGTTCCCAGATACTGCAGAGCTTGGTGTTTATGATGACCTTTTGAAAACGTGAAAGAAAACTTTGAAAAAGCTTCATATCATGGTGAGCAAAGGAAAAGTGCTACTTCACAGTTCTGTTCCGTATGTCAAGCAGCAAACTGAAAGATTAATCAAAGGTTGAGATGTTATTCCCGAGAAACCATGCAAGAATATGGTATTCAGGCAAAAATGCTCAAGCAAGCTGACAACCTCTTTCTCTATATTTTTATGCCCTTTAGATAATTTAGCACTATCAGCTTTAACATATGCACGAAAACATCACCTTGTTTTACCTTTTATTTATCTATTTACCCCCTCAGTCCCCTCCCTCCTCCTGCAACACACACACACCGCCCTCGTCCTACAATAAATCACTTGGCCTAACTACATCTTTTGTCAGCGATTTTCGATACTTAGCTGATTTTGAGTCTTTGATATGCTTAAGAAAAAGAAGAAAACTTTTTTACTTTAAATCCTTTTCCTGAAAATGAAGATTCAGAATGCAAAATTTGTTGTAAATAAGTAGTGATTTTGCTAATATGATAGGTTACTAGATGTTATACAATTATTAAAATCATCGAGGAAAAAGGTTTCTGTGCAAGAGCTCTGTACGAAAACGATTCAAAATTTGACAACTTTTTACGGTTTTTCGACATTTACCCTTCCTTCCAAGTAAAAGATTTTCCATCTCTTATTTTAAAGTAGCACATTTTCTTGTTTGTAAATATTATTAGGTAATGTAATGTTAGTATAAAAATAAAGCATAAAAGTAAAAAAAGTTAATTTCATCGAAGGTATTATTCTAGTATAGCAATTAAATATTTCAAAGCAATATCGTTGTAAATATTGTAAATGTGTTATTTGTTGTAAATATTCAAATAATCGAATTTGGAAATGAATTCCCAACAT